TGAAATATCTGAATGGCCTGCATGATGGGTGAATCGGCCCACATATATCACCATGTATTCTTTAAGAATACAAGAGATTCATTCTCAACTTTGGATAGCGATGGCCTAATTATGAGTTTTCTGAGAACATACTTTACATGAAAACTCTTCCGATTGAAAAATCTTCTGGTTTAATGGGTGGACACTTGAATTTTGCACTATCTTTCTCATCATGACTTATCCCGGATGGCCAAATCTTTCATGTCACACTCTAAATGTACAAGTAAACTTCGGTTTTACTGTAACATATGATTCAGTCATATTTATTTTTGTGCAATATAGTCCGGAGGACATCATTGGTAATTATTCCAGTACATGTCTACTCCCAGATGTAATGCAAAGATATTCAATGCCATTCTTATTCATAGTCTCTATATGATATCCATTACTGCGGATATCCTTAAAACTTAATAATTTTCTAAGAGACTCGGGGGAATATAATGCATCTTGCACTTCAAAGTTAGTCCCCATTGGCATTGAAAAACTTGCTCTTCCAGAGCCTAATATAATATTTGCATTACCAGATATGGTACTCATGCATCCGGCATAGTCCTTTATTTTGAGATAGGAAAAAATACTTTTTGTCCTTATTGCGTGTGTCGTACCACTGTCTGCTAGACAAGTATTCCATCCTGAATCTCAAACTGCGACATCTTTTGGATCACAATTATCATAAAGATAAATATATTCTTAAACCGAGACATAGACTTTAAAAGTTATTTTACATCAAACAAAAAACCATCCTTTTTTTCTTAACAAAAGACTAATAAAGTAAATTATATTTTTTATTGAAAAAGCAATACTAAATTATAATTTTTTTATGTCTTCTTCAGGAAGGCACTAAGTTACATCGATCTTAGTCGTTTTCTTTCCGTTGATTCTTCTGGATCAACAAGAAAATCTGTGACATGAAGATGAGTGGCGTCATTTCTGCCATCACGAGCTGATTATTTTGCCATCTGCGAATTTGGTGGTTTCACATCACGAGCTGATTATTTTGTTCAGCCACAAGAAGGACTTGCATCAACTCTGAGTAAGTGGTGTATTCATTCATCCGGTATTGTTGCTGCAGGGTTACATTTCCAGGATGGAATGTTTGGAGAGTTTTTTCGATCATATCAAAATCACTTATTTCAGCTCCACATAACATCATCCTGGAGGTGATTCCGAATATCACAGAATTATGTTCACCAATACTTTTGTAATCCTGGAACTGGAGATTCAACCAGTCATGCTTGGCTCTCGGTAAGATCACGTATTTTTTGTGATCAAACCTGTCTTTAAGTGACTGCCAAAGATCTGCATGATCTTTTTTCGTGATGTATTCTTCTTTTAAATTATCATGGATGTGGTGAAGCAAAAATATCATAATTTTGCATTTTTCTCATCTGATGTCGTTTTCGACTTGTCGATAGTATTGAGAAGCTCGTTTCTTCTTATATATATTTTGCACCTACTTCCCATGACATGTAATTGTTTCCAGACACATCAAGAGCAGGGATCTCGAGTTTTGCCAAATTTGACATGATAACTATATAACAAAATTTTAACTATCAATTTAGCAAAAAAAAAAAAAAAAAAAACTTTTTAGATGTTACCACAGCTTATTTAGAAAAAAAGGAGGAGGCAACGCCTGCCATAGATTTTGAGGAGGCATAGCCTACCATATAAAGGAGGCAACGCCTACCAACGCTTACTACGCTTTATTATAACAAAAAAAATTGAGGAGGCATAGCCTACCATATAAAGGAGGAGGCAACGCCTATCATGGATTTTGATGAAGCAAAGCCTACTATATAAAGGAGGAAGCAAAGCCTACCATAGATTTTGAGGAGGCAGAGCCTACCATTCCGTTTATACTATATAAACTTTAAATGATAATATGAATATAAATGTTACCTTCAAATTGATGAACAAACGAACAGGAACAGAGAGATGATCATGTTTTCCATATACGAGCGAGCAAGGAGACAATCGTATTGATAACGTATTATGAAAAACAATTTTGGAAAGCTGTTTGTATATATGCAAACACTAGAGAAGGAAGACTTAGAGAGAGAGTTAGAGAATGAAAAACAATATAAAAGATCTCTTGTGTTCTTTCACTAGATTATGTTACATTTACAAAGCTAAGCGCACCTACATATAGTGGAGAAAAGAGACTTAGAGAGAGACTTAGAGAGTTAGAGAAAAAAAAAACAATATAAAAGATCTCTTGTTTTCTCTCACTAGATTATGTTACATTTACAAAGTCCTATATAAAGTGGAGAAGTTTAAAGACAAATTTTTAGAAAATTAGGGATAAAGTGATTCAAATGGGATAAATCTCTAAGAGAGATGAATACTTAATAGCTAAAAAGCTTGAGGAGAAAGCTATTCTCAAATGTATAATCAATATATTTATAACAATACTAATGAAAAGTAATTTATTTTCTTATGTAATTCGCGTATTGTGTCGTTGTTAACATCTTTTTTTTCTTACTGTTAGATTCGACCATTAGATGATGAAAAAATATTGAAGTTATGTATATATAGTTAGGTCCCGTGTAGGTAATATCTTGAAACGTGTCTTAAACGGTATTTAGGTCCCGTTTAGGCGCTACGGAGTAACTGAATATCTTAATTTACTCACTTTATAAAATAAAATAATACATATATTTAATATATACCTAAAAAAGTCTAAATTCTCGTTTAAGCGTATACAATTAAACAATATTCGTCTATTATTTACCGAACGTCTAGCATGTTTTAGAGCACTGTGTAAAATATATGAAATAGAAAAAAAGAGGAAGAAATAAGGAATAAATTATCTGACTTATCAAAATGGTCATCAAACACTGGTCCACTTTGATCCATAGTTTTTTCTTTTCTGGCATCCACCTTGATCCATAATTTATGGTTCGCAAAAGCATTGTTAATTTGCAACGCATAAAATAAAAATGTTAGTGATAATTACTTAAAAATTGAAAGTGTTTTTAGCAACGAAAATAGGCTAAAAATTATTTTTCCTTTGAAAGCTTGCCTCATCAAAAGTAATTTATATATTTGATTTGTGATTATGACAATGCTCTCTAATTATTAGTAATTAGCTATTAAGATACTTGTTGATATGTAATATCACACAAATGGATAAAACAGTAATTTATATCAAAGTTCGGTTTTATTGATATCAGAGTAAAATACAACTGAGTTCGTTTCCAAACTGATCGTTCAACGAAATAGGACTTAGAGAATCAGATACTTAGAATATTTTTAGCTTTCAATCTCTAGGTTTCGGTGGATTTTTGTGTGTCTTCGGTGTCGACTCCTCTCCCCTTTTATATATATCCCAAGTCTGTCTTAGAGGAGATCTTTTTCCGATATTGGAATTTAAAGAGTTTTCTTTTCTCTGGGTTGAAAACTTTCTTTATTCTTTCAGGAAGTTTCCACCGACTTAATGTTCACGGGTCTAGATCGGTCCAGGAGTTCGCTCGACCCGATTCCCTCGATATACCATCATCGTTAGCCAGACATATTTATGCGAACCTTGGTTTGTACTAGAGAAAACCGTGAATACGATTTTCACCTCCAACAATACTAATGAGTAATGAGTATCTGTTCCCATATATATACCATATTAGACATATATATATATATATATTAAGATGTACATATAACTGTTTTTTTGTTGTTTTTGTCGGCAAACTATTTTATTAACAAACTGGAAATACAATCAGTTACAACACTGACCAAGTAATCTTATAGATTTGAACCTGCTCCCTAGCTACTTCCTGAACAGCATTACATTTAAAATACATGTACGCGTACTTGTTCCCTTTAGATGAGATATTGATAATATCTTTTATTGTCACTGATATTTCCAGGTTGCACCATGCTTGCTTCTTCTTTAGATTGATCAAATCGTTAATGCAGTTGAAGAGAGTAATGGTCCCCAACGAACAAGACTTCATCATAAGCCAGTCTTCTGATTTCCTTAACTGCCATCAGCAATGCCATAGACTCAGCTGCTAATGGAGTTTAAGTCGGCTAAATAGAAGAACTATCATGCATTAGTTTCTGACCATTGGCTTTATATAAAGACCAGGCTATATCAACACATGCATCAGCCAATGTCTATGATGCATCCATAAAACAACAATATTTATTACTAACTCTGAAAACCTTTTGAGTATTCTGGAGATGCTGAATTTGAATGCGGTTATTGTTGCTAGAACTGGTTGGACTGCTCCCCTCATTCCAAGATTTTGACTTTTTCTAGAGCTGGTAATCTATTCAGTGCCACCACTAGAATAATTTTTTATGGGTCAATATTAATATAATCACATAAATATTAAATCCACAGAGGTTAATATATACAATTGAGTTCAGATAACTCATGAAATATAAACAAAAACATATTTACAAAAAAAATTATAAACTCTGCTACTGAATCCATTAATACCTTGTTAATAACCGAAAGGATAAAATCTTATTTATTATCAAAGATAAATTTGTTTCTCATCTTCCAGATCCTCCATGCAATTAATGATGAGAAATTTTTGTTGTCTTTTGCAGGAGAACAAAGGAGCATCTCATTCATATTTTGAATCAATTGGAACAAGCTTCCAAATCTCCTCGGAGACTGCATTGAAACAAAATATGATTCAATATGTTTCCTGCTCTATATGATATGTTGGTTCAACTCTGCATCCTCTTCTGTTAAATAATCAGCTACCGGTAGACTATTGTGCACCATTCCCCATCAGAAATTCTTTAATTTGGGTGGAATGTCCATAGCCCAGTATATAGATCGTATTATTTTTTATGTATATACGTATGTTAGTAGTATAGTATTCAAGGCAAGTAGAAATTCTGCTTTCAGGCCACACATATTAAATGGGTCATTTTAGTGTGCGTTTAATAATGGGCTTTATGGCCCAATTTAAACGCTAGTAAAACGCCATCGTATTCATCGAATCTCCATCATTCCTTTTTTTGTTTTGTTTCCAGACCCCATGAACAATTGAACGCCAATTTCTTCTTCTTCTTCGTCGCTCTTTCTCAGATTCCTACCAAGCAAGCTTCTTCGATCTTCCTTTGCTGCATTTTTTCGTCAGTAAAGGTAAGTTTTATCGATCTCAAAGTTTTGAGGAACTAACCAAAGAGATTGATAAAACCCTAATTGTTTATTATACTATGGTAATCCCTTTTCTTAGAATAGAAATCGAAATCTACCGTCTTAGAAACTGGTGTTTAGGAAATTGAATTATTGCGTAGAAACCCTAATTTTCTCCTCAGTCGCTTAATTTTGCAATCTCTCAGAATGCTTCGGTTTTTTTGTTATAAAGATTCTTCTGCAATGGACACAAAAGCTCTAGCGAAATCGAAGAGAGCTCACACTCAACATCACTTCAAGAAATCTCATTCAGTTCATAAGCCGAAAGGAGTTACAGAGACTTCCAAAAATCCAGAGAAGAAGCCGCAAGGAAACCAAACCGGGGCTCTGAAAACAAAGAGTCCGGTTCAATCTCGCCGTGTATCTGCACTACCGTCGAATTGGGACCGGTACGATGATGAACTCGATCTTGGTTTGGATAATGCTTCTGGAGATTCGTCGACGAGTGAAGTTATTGTGCCAAAAAGCAAAGGAGCAGATTATCTGCATTTGATATCTGAAGCTCAAGCTGAGTCTCAATCAAAGATTGAAACCAATTCAGATTGTTTATCATCGTTAGATGATCTTTTACACGGTATTGAAGAACTCGAACCAAGTCTCAACCAAGAATCCAAATGTTGTTTTTGTTCTGTTTTGGATTCAAGTTTTATGAAATGTTTGCAGATGAATTTAGTCGTGTGGTTGGATCTATGATCTCGGCTAGAGGGGAAGGTATACTTTCATGGATGGAAGATGACAACTTCATTGTTGAAGAAGATGGCTCAGCTTCTAACCACGAGGTAATAAGATTCTTGTAATCTTATAGCTAAGATGAAGGTTTAATACCATTGTTTTCGCGCTAATTGATAACAGTTCCTCTCCTTGAACTTGAATGCACTGGAGAAAATGCTAGAGAAAGTGGATTTGCATGAGAGACTCTACATTGAAGCTGATGTTTTGCCTCCTGAGCTGGTACACACTTACTGGTTCAAAACCATTAGCTGTGTAACAATATTAGGCTTTATGTTTTTGACATATTCGATGTTTTTGGATTGTGCAGTGTACAGTTCAATCAAATGTGAGCCACGATGAAGAACCGTGTCATTCAAAAGATATCACAATGAGGCTAAATGAGCCGGTTCAACAAGAAGAATCATCGGTCTTGGAGGCTGAGTCTCTGGATCAAGTCAAGGACATACCAATACTCACAGACCAGTCAGAGAAATCTTCAGAAATTGAAGCTGATATAGATTTGCTCCTCAACTCGTATAGTGATGAGCCTAACTCAGTGGCTAGTGCCTCAAGTACATCCATTCAGAAATCTTCAGCTTTTGAAGATGAGTTGGATTCTCTGCTCAACTCTCGTAGTGAGGCAGAACCATTCAACAAACCAGCGAAGCCATCTGATCAAAAGCTTAAGTCGACGGGTTTTGATGACGTGCTTGATGATTTGCTCGAAAGTACTTCAGTATCGATCAAACCACAGCAGAGCCAGACCTCTTCATCGTCCTCCTCCGTTGGAAAATCCAAAGTTTTAGATGAGTTTGATTCTTGGTTAGATACGATTTGATTTACATATGTTAGCTTCATACTTTTTGTAATCTATAAAAGAAAGATTAACATTTGGTAATGGCTCTTCAAATCTTCTTTTGATCATTTTAAACCAATCCGCAAAACAGGATTGATAAAATAAAACTAACCCTCAAAACGAAAAACCTGTTCAAAGTGACTTTTTTTTTTTTCTTTCTTGCTATATACTTGTTAGGGCTAGGTTACAAGTTCATTGCTTGGAGATTAAGCATAAGATCATTGGAGCTGAGGTACACCGTGTTGTCCGATCTAGCTACGATCTGAGCAATCTCTGTGGCAGCTTCAATCTTCCTCAGAGTAATGAAAGCATCATTGTTCGCAATAGCTTCGCCTATGAGTTTGAGCACTCTTAGCTTCTCCCTGTGAATCACAAAAGTCGGCATTTAACAAAGAAACAAAACCCACACAACTTTGTCCTAAAATATATAGATATACTCACCTCAGCACGGTAACAGCACTTTTCTTGTCTTGCTCAGCCTTTTCGACTATGAACTTAGCCCGTTCTGCCTCCTGAGCTGCGACTTGTTTTGCCTCGATTGATTCTTCGAATTACCTGCCAAATGTGAGGCTTGTGATGGAGACACCATCTAGTGCAATGTTGAAACTAGATGCGCCCTCTCTGTCAGAATCTTGCATATCTCCCTGCTCACACCCTTGTAGAGATTTGAAACCACAAGACAAAACACAGCAGCTACAAATGTTGAGATTAGAACATTAGAGTAGGAAATACTAACTTCTCTCTGTATAATGAGCTGGCTGGCATTGCACTGAGCCCCCACTGCTTACAGAGTTTCATTGATGACTAAAGGGAGAACTCGGTCTTTGTAATTCTCACCGAGTGTCCTGTAAATTTGCGGCAAGCGGTCTCCCATGGGACGATGAAGAACCCTAAGCCCAATTGTCACCTGTACATAACACCAAACAAGTATCTCAAAAGATAAACTAGGCACACATGAACAGTGGTTTTTTGTTTGTTTGTTTGTCTACTTGCATCTTAACCAACTCAGGAAAATGCTTTGGTTTCAGACCAAAAACGGAACCCAAAACTATAACAAAATCAAAGTAATAGGACATTAAAGTCTACTTTACTTTATATCTACACATACATACATACACGAAAGACGCTTAAGCCTATTAAGCCCATTAATGAATGCTTCCCTTGTTTAACACGTAAAGTTGAAAATGAAATGGGTCTAACATTTTTATTTTGTAATCTTTCTCTATTCATCTGTTACTATAAGATTCCTCTGTTTTTGGATTTGATGTCTGTATTCTGTTTTTTTCTCTTAGTTTGTAATTCATTCAGTTGGAAGTTGGAAAAAAAGTAAACTAAAAAAACTATTAAAGATTAATATAAACCAAATGTAGAGCTAAATATTTATGATCATATACGCACAATTTGGAATAATAATCTCTTCTTTACAATTATCATCAATCCATGCATCATATTCAATAAAGAAATTTCTTATTACAACCCTCACAATAAAACAAATATATGGAAACCAAAATCAGACGATGAATTTCAAACATAACAGAACAAGTCCAAGACCAAACCCTAATCCAGCCTTCATCTCCCCGGAGCCAGACTTCTCCGACGGAGCCGCCGCTTTCTTGGAGGATTCATCTTCCGAGTCATCAGAGACACCAGGAGATTTTGATTTTGGACCAGGCGCCACGGGTGAGATCTTTCGTTCTCCAAACATTTCTTCGGGCAACAATACCATGTCCACCACGTAAACCGCAAGAGGACGTTCTTTACTTAATGCATTACTAACACGTGTCTCAATGACTCCCGTTGAAACGTTGACTTGGTTTCCTTGACCGGTGAAGTTAAGTCCGTAAATCGCACCAGCGTCTCGCCCTGAAGCTTGAGTCCTGACCGGGTTGCTTACTGAGAGAAGATCATCAAGTGTGTAGAATTTGGGACTAACATGGTAAAGAATGAGCTTTACTTGGTCGTCCGGGCTTAACTTGTTTAGGGTTCCGGGTTTAAGGTTTTGAAATGCGTTGTCTGTTGGTGCAAACACGGTCATGCCTTCTGATGAACTGTTGACTTGGATGTTGATTTGGTTTCCGATTTGAGTTGTGTTCAAAAGACGGGTAAAAGTAACGAATTGGCCGCCTTTTTCGAGGATTGCCGTGACGTTGATGGGACCAGCAGGGCCAGGAGCGGGAGCGGCGGGCTGAGCGGTTACCTCGGTGGAGAGGAAGACGGCGTCTAGGAGGAGGAGGAGGAGGAGGAGAGGAGCTAGAGCTAGATGAGTGGTGGCCATTGCGTTTGAAGTTTGAGTTTGATGAGAAAGTGAGGTTGGGAGTTAAAAGTATTTATATGGATGAGAATTAGTGATGAGTTGTGGCTTAGTTGGAATGAGATGGGATTGGCTAATAAGTCATTTTGACAAAATGTATATTTGCCGACAGAAATTGGATTCTCTATGTAACTATATGTTTAAACCTTAATTTTTTTGTTAAATATATATAATCATCGACGTTTGTATATGTATGATCGGTTGTTAAATAAATTTATCGACATTTAATATATGTATGATTCGTTTATGTGATCGCAAGATATGTGAGAAATTATATGCATATATTATATATACAAATATGAGATGCTGAAATTGTAATGAGTTCTAAGGTCAACATATATACGTACAAACACAATTTACATCAAAATTGTATAGAGTTAACAACGGAATATCAATCTTTCTTTTACTAGACACTTTTTTTTTGGTCTAATACTTTTCTTTTACTATATACTTAGGTTAACAACCGACACTAACACATACATTTTGGTCACACAACTCACAATAATCTCAACTAATTAATGGTTGGTGGTACTTAGTAGTCTAATAGAGAAAGATAAGGATGATTTGATCCCTAATTTATTATACTCATATACGTTTAGATAGTATTCATATGATTGGATTCAATAATGAAAACGCTTTTGATATTTGCTAAAAAATGTACTTTTCTTAACTATTTCTTTTTAATTAGGAAAAGATATGAGGAATTCAAACTCAGTTCTTAGGAAAATGCGGGTTAAACCAGGTATAGTAGTTGTAATTTAGATCAGCATATAGAGATAACTAATTATATCCTTCTATTGTAAATTGTATACAATAAGGTATATTCAAAAATGTAGATGCTTCATGCATGTATCTATCTATACATCCATATTCTGTACTTGTGCTGTTGTGCATACACACGTCGACCGTAGACATGTATGTGTTTGTGTCATTGTGTGTTGTAAGAAGAAGAAAATGGATGGACAAAAGTCCAAGGCTCGCTAAGTGACAGCCTGGATGAACAAGTTGGCATGTGGTGGGAGTGGAAGACCTACAAGAGTAAACATATCTTAGTATATCTTATCGATCATTAATTTTTTTTTTTTATTGCGTTTGATCGATAATTATTACCAATCGCTTCAAAGAGCGACGGCTCAAATATAGCATAAACATATTGTTATTCTTGTTCAATATATGGAAATATGGAACCTAATTCTATGTAATTTTTATTATTATTTTGGACCTTTGAATACACCAATTTTTTGTTGGTTTATCAAGTTTTCTTTGCAAAGATACTCCCAACATATTTACTTTGTGTTAAAAAAAATCGATCGCCTAACCGTTTAGATATTGATCGTTGTTGAGCAGTGGGTATTTAAGACTGATTAGTTTAATGGAATTTGGACACAATATTATATTAAAATTATAAATTATGATGGATTAACATATTAAAAATCTCAAAACTAATCTCCGGTTCATTATTGAATCCCCAATTCTTTTATTATACGCTAAGGCCACCTCGATTGCCTGATTAACGTCTAGTAAAATGTTGAACAAAACATATACTTAGAAATGGATTCAAAGATCATCGATCAACCAAACAAACGATTTGATAAAACATTTAATTAGGATGGTCTGAACAAACTTTAGCCAGTCATAAAATTGTTAGAAACCAATTATTTCAAAACGTTTCAGAGGTCAGCAATCAACCAAGCAATTTCTCTTAGTATTTGTTGAGACGGTTTGATAAAAAATAATTCGTCAAAGCGGTTCAAAGCATTTTTAGGCAGTTACAAGAGAAACTGTAAGAAAGGGTTGTCAACTTATCATAAATGCTTCTAGGTATGAAGTCACTTATACTAAAAGCATATATCTCGTGTTGCTCTTAATACCATTTTAAAGTGTATGATGGTTTTTACCCAAAAAAAGAAGAAGTGTATGATGGTTTTTTCACGGCCAAGCGGCATATAGAGAGCATAAAGTAATGTATCAGTCTTCTTATGTTGAATTGAGCAAATGCAGAGCGTCCATTGAACCGTATATGTAATTTTTGGCCTTCACTATTATGATAGACGACCACCTTGTATTTAGCCTCATTAGAAACTAGACCTAAACATAGTAAAACATGGTTGAAAAACCATTCATTTTTACTTGAATTCAAAATTGAAACTCCTTTTAAGTTTTATGGGCCACAAATGTATATATCCTAGTGGTTTATGTTAGTGTTGTCATTATTTCACAAACCACATTCAAACCCACATGTTAAAAAAACAATCTCGTGTTTTAGGATCTACTGTACTTTTTTGCGTTTTAAGTAAACTCAACTCATTTTAAGTGTCCAAGAATGTTCCATCAATCCACCCTAAATATTTCAAAAGCCTATTATAAGTAATTAAAGCCAACTCATTTAAGTGTCTAAGAATGTTGTTCGTTTTTTTGCGTTTTGAATTTCCAGCCATATATTCATTAAAAAAAATATCTATCTATTTTATTATATATGGGGAAAATATATTTGAATTGCCTATTTGATCAATAATTTTCAAAAGAAAAATAATGAAAAAACACTCAAAAGTATCCAAACATTTAGCATTTTTCTGAAATTATCTGAAGTTTCGCAAAATTAACATTTACCAACTTATCAAGAGTTTGAATAGTAATTCTATCTGAATTTTCCGAATCCATTTCATTATCCGATTTCTTTTCTTTAAAAATTATAATCATTTTAATATTCAAAATATAAATTTTTATTACTTTCTAATTATTTCTCATTTCGATTTTCTAATGAACATTCCTAGACCCTACTATATTTTTCTTACAAATTCTATTACTTACAATTTTTTTCATAACTTTTTTTCTTGTTTTCTTTAAGTTTGAGGGGAAACAAGTTTATTGTCTGAAATATCCAATTGAGGAAGAGAAAATTAAAACATATATATATATATATATATATTTCAAACAAATCCATGAAAAACTATATATAAGTAAAAATGATGTTGGATCATTTGAATAACTAACAAGTTCATGTAGTTTTATGATATTTATCAATAAGTTCGTTGTGAATATCGATCTATATTTGTAAGTTTGTAACTGTAGTGCTTTTTTGGTTTTGGCCATATGGTGTCTTATCTAAGCCATCATAGAATAATGTAACTGTAGTACTTTAAGTTAAAATTCGTATAGAAAGAATGGAAATCTAATATATATTAGTTGGAAAGGACTCTCCAGAAATTGGCACATTAACATTTAATCCTATATATTAAATGAAAATGTAATTTAATGAAAAAATCGAATTTGTTTTAATTTGATTGGTTTAAAAACGTCAATGATGATGTTTATTCCACGTCAAATGTGACATGGCAAGGTCGCTAGTTCTGCACAATTTTATTGAATGATGATGCTGATGTTTAATTTCTATCCAAATTTTTTATGATCTAAAATAATTAAAAAACGAGAAAATCACAAACGGATAAACACGCGGATCTTTATACCCGACCCGGCCCAATTCTCTGTTTTTAAGAACATTCTTTGGCCCTATACTTCCTATAAGCCCATTTTCAAATTTTTAAAATTTTCGTTTTTAAAACTATTTCTCGCTTATATAGAATATTTCGATATTAAATTCAATTTATTCAGTAAGATTTCGTATCTAAATTACCTCTCATCTATGGCAATTCAATTTCATTTGAATATTTGAATTTAAAAACATTTCCTGAACTATAGCTATTTCATCTAACTACAATACTAATATTCTCTAATTTGAATTTAATATTTTAGGGTTTATTCACCTCAATTGTTTTCCATATATATAGCATCATTCCAAAAGGCCGAAACAATACTATCATCTTCTCAAAATGTCTATAATACGCCTATCTGGAGCACTTATTGTTCCTTTTGCTAAATTAGATCCTACTACCATTCAGCAAGTTAGGGCTAAGATATGTTACATCTGGAAAGTGATTAACAAACATTCACGTTTTAGAGTCGAAATGATTTTAATTGATGAGGAGGTATGTCATTTATTAACTCTTAGTTTTTTATGCCATCTTGATTTTATATTTAAAATACAAAGTGATAAAAACTTCGACATAACGGGGATCAAGGATTCACGCTGCCAGCGATAAAGAAATATTCGAAAAACACAAGGGCCTTCTTATTGAAAGCAAAACTATTTCTATTACTTGCTTTTTATTAAGAGAGTACCACGATGTTTTTAGGGCTACTTCTTTGCCACTGAAGATTTATTTCTGCCGGACAACCGTTGCGTATAAGATTTATGATTTTCCAGCAATACTGCATGAAAAATATTTGACTGATTTCAAGCGTATCAAGGACGGCAAGGTGGACATAAATCTTCTTTTCGGTATGTTTTTTTATTGGTTAATTATATTAAACGTAACACGTTTAATTTTATTATTAATTTCTTGACGTTGTTATTGAAGATGTTATTGGACAAATTTTCACGGTGGGGAGTATTGAATTTGTTCAAATTAAAGGCAAAAGAATCGGTAAATTGTGGATTACACTAAGTGATACCAAGTAACTGTTGATATTTTTCTTATATTTTAAAAACATTTGTAAATTGCGTCGCTGATTTGTACTAAATGCTCAAGCGATGTTCATTTTAAATGTACTCTATGGGGAGAATATGCATTGATGACCGTTGAGTACATTAAACAACATCTGGAATCTGTCGTTGTCTGTCTGATGCGCTTTGTCCGTATTTAAGAGTTCAAATGTGAGTTCTCAATATATTATAGTCCACATAGTTGTATGTAAATGTTAACAAGTTATGCGAAATTTTGAAATTTGATTATGTTTTTTTAGGTGTTATTTTAATATCCAACTCTTTCAACTCCACTAAAATTATGTTTGATACTGACAACAAGATCATCAAAGACTTCAAAGATAAGTATGTTTTCGGTAATATATACACTTATCATATCTTGAAACAGTATTGTATTAACCATATATCCTTTTGAATTATAGATTGCCTAAAGACAAC